TACGCCGTCAAGTGGGATGGCTACGCCTGTCCGACGTGGGAAGCAGAAGAGGACCTCTTCAGTTACGGCCAATTGATGGCCGAGCATGACGAGACTTGCCAGTGCGCGCCAGGCCTTGGGAGTGGCCACCGACACAATGAGTGGACCGGACGAGGTCAGCGAAAAGCGGGTTCAGTCACGCCGCTTGTTGGTTTGCGGCCGACAGATGTAGATTCAACGGTAGTGAATTAGGTCGGATGAGGGAGCAAACCTCCTGGCACTCTGAGCCATCGATCAACTTGTGCCGTTACGTGGAGCGACCAGATACGGTGCACTTTCTGAAGTGATTCTGGGGCCGCTGATCTGGCCCTGACACGACCAGGGGTGCGCTGTCAAATCCAGAACGAGCTCCCTTCTGATTACAGTGCACACACCCCAGATCGAAGAGCGGCTTCTGGGGCATGCAAAGATCCACTGATCCAGCAGCAGCTTTGCCGCGAGGTCCCAAAAGAATATTTGTAGCTATGCACATATGAGCTGAAATGTAGTGTTACAACGTCCCATCGAGATACTGTTCGAAAAGAGCATTTCCACTTCCGAGGCATTGCCAGCCAACTAGAATGTCCCCAAAGTCTTTGCGTTCATTCGACGTCGTGAGTGAATGGGTTTCTTCCATGTCGCCCCACATGGAGCGACCGGCGCCTCCCAAGACTGGCCCTCAAGTGACGTTCCGCCCCCCGCTTGTCTCGAAGGGACGAACGGAGCAAATCCAATCCCGCACCACCAACAGCGACCGACCGTTATCTCGTCAATCTGCGGCAGGGGCTCGCCAGGCTTCAAACGCCGCATTCTGCAACAGAAAACGTCAAATAGGGCGTCTTTAGAGACCTGCCAGAGCAAAGATTGAGCAGCACGGTTCCAGTCGCAGTGTCCAATTCAAACAGTTTCTAAACCATTTTACTCATTATTAAATAGGCTCCTCTACTTTCACTCACGCTACTTATAGAATCTCTTTTGATTTCTTTTCCTGAAGTTACTAAGATATTTCAATTCACTTCGTTTATTAAAAAACTTCTCTTAGGGTTTATATTTAAAATAAGTTTTTAGGGCGAAAACCACTAAATTCCTAATTTGAGTACATAAATCATACCCTTTAATACATAGCCAGATTTCCATAATAGTTTCTTTGTATACTTGTATATTTATATATAAATATATGTTCTATATCCATTACATTTCTATTGATTCCAATTTCAGATTATTGCGGTTCGAACGCAACTATCGATACATGCACCATGGTCGAAGCGGACGAAATGACAGAACGGGAAGGCTCCACTGAAGCCAGTACGCCGGCTGTGGAACCTCTTCAGTTTATCCGTCGTGTGGACTTGGACGGCACGGCGGCCGGTCGTTCTTTGATTGGAAGCATGTTGAAGAAGTTCTGATTTGTCAGGGGAGATGGGAGCACGGCTGCGAGCGCGGATAGAAGATGGGAACATTAGTGTGAATTACGGTGTCATGTTGTCATGTTGTCACGAGTTGTGGCAGGCATCAATGGGTATAGGATGTGGAACAGGAGGCTTGTATTGAATCAAGAAGAATGCGAAAAAGAACGAAAATTCTATGATCAGGACGAAAGTGAGAACCACCTGATAATGCATTTTACAGGCCGATCGTGGAAAAGTGACCCTGTTCCCGATTCGTGATGTATTTTGAATCTGGATACTACATGTAGATGAAGAACGCCACGACCTGCGGG